AATGGAGTTACCCCAATCATAACCCTGCTTGTGCCTCCAAGTAGTATGATTCGGAAAAGAGAGCATATCTAAGGCCTGCTGGAGTTTGTGGGAAGGGTTCCGGGTTTACGGTTTAGGTGAGGGCATGGGCTTAGGGCTTAGGACCTTGATCTCTTGCCGCTAGCCTGAAGCCGGGACCTGAAATCCTAGATCCCAGACTGCAAACCTTAACACGACGAGTTCAGGGTTCAGGGTTCGGGGTTCGGGGTTTAGGGTTTAGGGTTTAGGGTTTTAGGGTTTAGACACCGCAGGCAAGACTAGCCAACACATGTCTGGAGGTATGAGTGCAGGGTTCAGGCTTGTCCCCCCTAATCACGAAGTATCATGTACGGTTTAGCGTTTCGGGCCTCGGGGCCTGCTGCTAGCTTATCTGTTCTATTTTGCCGTCGGTGTTGGTTCACATCAGCCTTTTTCCAGACAGTATTGTGATGGTGATGGTCTGATGATGATTTATTGCTGATAGACAGAACCCTGAATCATCCGTTGACTCCACTTCTTTTGGCTTGCTTGACAACTTGACAATGTGTCCTGCTTTAGGGTTTAGGGTTTATGCGTCCTTCTAGTTACCCTACATCCTTGCTATGTTTTCCTGGGAGCCGTTCCGTCAAGATCGAGGGCTGACGGAATCAAGATGTCGAGAAAAGTCGCACTCGACTGAGTAGTGGGGCCAGAATCATAGTAGGGTCCTGCATGATTCCCAGTATTGTTCCTTGAGGTTCTCTATAGTATACTTTCCGCCAAAACCTTATTCTAGCTATTACGAGCAGTGACAGCCGTAGCAGCTAGGGTTTAGAAATTGTATGGTTAGGGGTTGATCTATTTGACATTCTTGTGTTTTGTTGCTTAGGTGTTTCGGGCTTTTGTGGTCTGGCTTATGGTTTATAAAAGCTTTTTGCCCTCTCAGACCGAAATGGCAGGTTTTCTCGATGTTTTCTCGCTCGGTGACCTCAGTCGCGTCTTCCAGGCATCTGTCAAGGCACGGAAGCTGTCAGTTGACATAGGGGCCAGAAGAGGTACCAGTACTACTCCTTTTTTCGGGACCCTAGATATACGTAAACTATAGTATACCCCAAGACGCTGCTTCCTTTTGTTAGGGACTCTACGTTGCTAGACCGCGACCCAACGGTCCATGGCCTAGGTGTGACACAGGGCTGTTGCTGACAGTGAAGCCGAGGCTCAACCTCGAGGTCGGCATGATTACGAGTATTATTTCCCTAACCTTACCTATAGTCCTTCTATAATTTATATCTAGTATAACGTACACCCGAACCTTATTCTCAGTTCTGAGCCCCCCCCCTACAGTAGGTTGGTGATACTTGCCAGGGCAGCAGTTCAGTGCTCAACAGCAGAAAAATAGATTCAACTGGACATACATCAGGCTTTCACCCAAAACGGCCCAACCTTAAACCCTAAACCCTAGACCAAAAAGCCCCTGGTCCTTGCCGAGCAAGCGGTGGGTTACCAACATCACATGTGGCAACATCTATTGGGCATCAATATCAGCAGTACCAATATCAGTATCCATAACTCACTATGTACATGCATATGTATATATATATATAATCATTTGTAAACCTTTATGTATGTTTCTACAACTATAGAGACCTAAAGGAGCCTGATTATCAAGACCCCCGACAAGACGGAAAGCAGAGAATGAGAAAGCCTCATCTTGATGCCCTGTCTTTCCTTCCTCGGAGATGCTACGGGTCTGGAAAGTCTCCGGCGAGGAGCTGGCCAGGGTGCCCGTGGCAGAGCTGAGCGATGCTTCGGAGCTGAAGCGCTACCTGCGCGTGAAGAACAACTTGCCCATCTGCCTCCAAGAGTTGCTGCATAATGGAGCTCTTTTGCAGGACGATGCCAAGCTCTTCCCTTCCATGGATGTGCAGTTGATCTTGTCATCCCTGGCGTTGCGAGGGACGGAAGCTTCTCTGGAGCTCCTGGAAGCTGCGGAAGCCGGGGAGGTTCCTGGAATTTGATTGGATTTAAGTTACCATACATAGGGATCTATGTTTTATTGTTTAGCAAACTTCTTAACAAGAACCCAGGTCGAGGCCATGCGTCTGCTGATTGATGCGGACGTGGACGGGGACCTCCTGGGCCAGCATATGGCCACTGCGCTTATTGCCGGAGCATCCGAAGGCCATGCAGAGGTTGTCCGATTCCTGATTGAGGCCGGGGTCGCTACGGAGACGGAATGGCATGGTGAGACAGCTCTAAGTGGGGCCTCTTCGGAAGGCCATGTCGAGGTCGTACGCCTCCTGCTGCCAACAATGGACGTCCAGTTTTGTGCAACTGCACTGATTAATGCATCTTCTGCAGGCCATGTTGAGGTTGTCCGCTTGCTACTTCAATCCAGTGCGGACGTAGACTGTCAGCACAGCGAAACAGCTCTCAGCGCGGCCAGTTCCGAAGGTCACGTGGATGTTGCTCGTTTGCTTTTGGAGGCACGCGCGGATGTGAACTTGTCGAACCAGCATGGGGAGACAGCTCTCGTTGCTGCGTCCTTCGAGGGGAAGGTTGATGTGGTGCGCTTGCTTTTGGAGGCCGGAGCGCATGTGGCTTGCTTTGTCCAGTAGCAAGCTTTGCCAGGAGCTGTATTGGGAGGTAACCCTAAAATGTCAGAGCCCGGGCTCTTCCTTTTAAGACCCCGAGCTTTCGGACCGGACTAAGGTAGACTTCCAGCATGGAAACACGCCTTTGATGGCGGCTTCATCCCAAGGCCACCTTGAAGTTGTGCGACTGCTTTTGGCAGCGGGTGGGGCCTCATCCGTGAAGACGAGGCATGGTGATACAACTCTCATGGCAGCATCCTCCGAAGGGCATGTGGAGGTTGCGAGACTGCTCGTGGAGGCTAAGGTGGGCTTGGATTTGTCGAACCAGGATGGCCAGACAGCTCTCACGGTCGCGTCTTCGAAAGGCCACGATCGTGTTGTCCAGGTGCTCCTGGAAGCAGGCGCAGCCACAGATCTTGCTGACTTCTCTGGCGAAACAGCTCTGGTTGCGGCTGCCTCGAGAGGCAATGTCGAGATTGTGCGCTTGCTCTTGGAAGCGCGGGCTTGTACGGATTTCTGGGATGAGCCGAGAGACACTGCTCTCACTGTGGCCTCTACTGTAGGTCATCCAAAGGTGGTGCGCTTGCTGTTGCAAGCCGGTGCTGCTACCGATGCAGTTGATGAACAAGGAGACACCGCCCTCATCAACGCTGCTACCGAAGGCCACATTGAGGTTGTGCGACTGCTGCTGCGAGCCGGTGCTCATGCTGGCCACACTAACCAGCAACAGGACTCAGTTCTGCAAAGCAGGGGAATCCCCGGAGCCCCAAACCCTCAAATCCAATTCCCTGCACATCATAGATGTCCAAGCAGTGACAGGACAGGGCGATCATCGCAGCATCTTCTAAAGGCCACTTCGAGATCGGGCGCTTGATTTTTGAATCTCGCTTGCGCCAAGACCTGATATTGACCGAGCACCAAGACTTGACCGACCAACATGGCGACACTGAAAAGCAAGAGGCTGTCGCAATGGTGGCTAGTATAGCATGGCACCATGAAAGCTTCAGTGCCACTTTGAATGAGTGCAATCCTGTTCACAGCTCCGGCAATTATCACTTGGCTATTGCTGTAACCCTAAACCCTAAATCCTCATAATATGATTGTGACTATGATGTCGTCATTTACTCGTAGCCGGCTCCTCCGGTATCTCACCTTGCTCGATTCCTTTGCTGACGATGATTATGATGATGACGGTGATTGCACTGCCTATTAAGGTGATGGTGCTGATGCATGATCGCAGACACTCCCCCAGCATCGCAAATCGTGTCACATTCTTGCTTCTGAAGCAACATGATGGTTGTGATGACTGTATTGGGGACAGTCACAGCTACATTCACAACAACAGCGGCTGCCGCAGAGATCGTTGCTCTTCTAAGTGCCGTGAATCTTGAGAGTTTCAGGCGCTCGCAGTTTGAGGTTTCTGCTGGCCTTAGGTTCTAGGAGTCTAGACTTTGGGTCTTTCGAGTAACGTAGGGGTCTTAATAAGTAGAATAGGGTTTTCGGGGGTTCCTTATTATAACTAACTAATTTTACAGTGTAATTGAAATCATCGCAGACAGTAGCGTCAAAACGCGCAGTTCCGTGGTCTTCAGGTCTTCAATTCGATGCATGAGCAAGCTTGGATCCACGGATTGAAACGTATTTTTTCCTCCCGAGCCGAAAGCCGTTGACCTACGAGAGGAGAGAGGAACTGTGACGTTCTTCGGTGGCGACTCGCAGCAGACTGGAGGTCGACTTTGAGGACTGAGGCTGACACGCGTGGGGAGCTGGGATTTGCCAAGTGATTCTAGGCCTTTTGGGGTTCAGAGCTCGAGAATCGGGAATTGGGAGTTTTTAGGGAGTTTGCCAGGGGGTTGTTGTTCCTTCCAATCTCCATGGGCGGATATCCAGGGTGCTTTCTGCACACTGCTTTGGACCAGCTGGGTCGCTGGTGAGGTGCTTTTTTTATGTTTTGCTCTTTCATTCAGTCGACGTGGGGGATAGGTTGACCCTCACCTCTCATGTCGAGTGTCTGTTGTAGCTGGGAGGGTGCACTTTGACTCGGGCTTTCGAGACCACCCAGATGTAAGCTACAGGGGAACCATCGTCTCCTCTTAAACCGAGAGCCTCCACAGAGGGATGGGCTGGAGCCGGCACCCAATCGCGCCAAGCATAGGTTTGTCGAAAACGGCTTCACCATGTGGGGCCGTCAGGGCGCCGTGGGCGGAAACGATAAAAGAAATTGCAGGGAAAACGCATCTTATTCGGTGTGTAACTTCAACGAGACGTTCCTCGGAGGCAACGTTCCCCCTTCACTTTTCTGGCAGAGTGCTTTTTTCTCTCCGACGGGCTCAGATTTCATTTCTGTGTTTCTTGTTGCAGCGCAGGATTTGGCCTTGATGGTGCAGCATCTGAACTGAAAGGCCGGTTAGGTTCATCCGCTTGGCTTCGGGTGCAACGGGACACAGTCAGAGCATGATACCCCGAAGCACGTGCTGGAGCCATGACTTCAAACTCCGCACTCAGTTGTGGCCTTTTTCTTCTTTGTGAGTTACCTTTCGCTGTCCCAAACCCCACTATGCCCTGAATCCAACACCTCTGCCACGTACTTGCTTGTGGGTGTGCCGGTGGCATTAGAGCACCACTGCGAGTCGACGTTCGGTACTTTTGAAGCATTGTTTTGTTGCAGCTTCTTGGGCGGACCAGCTCAGGGTGCGCATATTCTTCGCAGCGGATTGCAGCCAGCATCCGTGGGCGGTGAGTGGGGTTGGGAAGCCGTGTCCATTGAGAGCATCCCTTACACAGTTCCCTATGTGGAACTCTGAGCATCCGTCTTCAAGGGTTTAAGAGTCGAGCTCTTGGAGTTCGAAGCAACTTATGATCTTTGGCGATAGCATGCCTGCAGACGGTAGAATACGAGAGACAATGAGTCTACCTGCCAAAGACATCGCCCTCTCAGGATGAAGTAAAAACCCAAGAATACTTGGCATTCTGAATACTAATCCTTGGCGGCTCGCTAGCCTCTGCCAGCACCTGTCCCGTTTGAGAGCAAGCCTCCTCAGGCGCTAGTCCCCAATGAAGGGCCGTGGATTCTCCACTTGGAAGCTCCTGATCCCTGTGTTCAAGCTTCTCCCTGAGACAGAGGCCTGAAATTTCCGCAGGGCTCCGAATCTCTGGGATTGTAGGGAAGCCTTTGGCCCCGGTCGTCCGGATTTTCAAAGGTTTAGTAAAGGGGCCGGAAAAATTAGAAGTCATGCCCCAGTATAGTCTCCTTGTCCTAGGTCCTAGGTACTATAAGGAAACCCCTTAAAGGGGACCCTTCTGAACCCTACTTAAAAGGGACCTTATTGAAAGGGTCTATCCCCAAGGATTCCCCTAATCTTAACTCCACTTGTTAACATGCCACCGAATCTGTAGTCTAATTTCAAGACCCCGGCGTTATTCCGATCAGCCTCCGCATGCGCAGACCACACATCGGACCGCAGAATAGGGTTGTAGGGTAACATATGGTTTATGTAGTCTAGTAAACCAACTTGCAGGATTGTAGCATTTGCGTGGAAGAGAAGCCCCTACCCTAAGCCTAAGCCCTGCACATGTTTTGCATTTTGCTTCTTAATGTTTCTTAGTTCGACCAAACCTGGAACCCCAAACCTTGATTGTAGGGAAGAAGCGATCAGGATGTCTCTTCGGAGGTCTAAAATTTGGCTGTAGATTCCCTCTCACAGAAAGGTGGAGCTTGAGTGCTACCTGCTACCTTTCTTTGCCCCCGCAGCCGACGTCTGGCTCAGCTCTTCAGGCTTCTGAAGCCATGAAGCGTGGCCCTGAAAACCAGAACGACAAGCAGGCGAAGCTGTCGCGATTCTTCCGGTCGAAGCCGGCACCTTCGGATGCTTCAGCCCTCACGGTCCCCGAGCTGGAGCCCGCAATGCCGCAGGCTCCCTCCTCCTCCCCCCCCTCCTCCCATTCAGGGGCGCCCTGGACGTTAGTCGAGCGCCCTGGGCAAGCCAAGAGCGCCGTGGACGCCGTTGCGCTGAAGAACGGCGTCCCGGGGCTCTTTTAGGGAACTTGTTTTCAGTCACCAGAAGCGGGATAAAGTCGAAAGTCATACGCTTTCCTTATGTGGTGGTGGTAGTAGCTCAAGCTAGGTTCAAAGTATATATCCCATATGATAGTATCCTTATAGCAACCATAAAGTAGAAAGTACTAAACCTTAGGCCCAATACCCTAAACCCTAAACCCAGTCCCTAAACCCTAAACCCTAAACCCTAACCCTAAACCCTAAACCCCTCAAGCCCTGAGGTAAAGATGCCCGTGCTCGGCTTCGGCACTTACCGGCTGGGGCGCCAGGTTGCGATTTCCGTCGTTCTAAACGCCCTCAGGGCAGGCTATCGCCTCATCGACACGGCTCAGGCAGGTTACCACCTACTTGTAGGCTTATGTAGTGTTTAGGTCTCACAGGCCTGAGGGCGCCCAAAATCCTAGAAGAGGCTTTTGGGGGCATTGCTTTAGGGATATATTCTAGAAGTGCGCGAATATGATTTCCTGGGTAGTTTACAATCTCTTTCTGCTTCTGCCTGCAAGTCAGATGAGGCTAGATTGTAGCTGTTGTAGCTGCTTAGGTTGGTGCATGTCTGTGCGTGTCCGTCATGTATTTGTGCCAACATTGTCTTCGGCTCTGTGCCTCTTCCTCTGTTCTCTCACCTGCCGCTTTTGTTTTTTTGGTCTATCCATCTCTCTGTCTGTCTCTTCTTTCGTCACACGTTCGTCGCTGTCTCAGTATCTCTCTCTCTCTCTCTCTGTGTCTCCCTCGCTGCCCCTCGTTGTGTCTGCCTCCTGTCTCTGTGCATGTTTAGCTGTCTGTCGATCGATCACTGTTTCCATCTTGTTGTCAAGTTGGAGGTTGGATGAACAAATGAGTAGATAGTGTGAGTCTTGAAGCGAGGTCAGAAACCCTACAAATGTAAAGCACTTAGCACTCCCAAGCATCTTAAGGCACCCAACCACAAGCTAATAGAAGAGTGCGTAAATCCGGTGTATGAGCAAGGCAATGCGAGCCCTAAACACTAAACCCCTACACCCAAAACCCTCAACCCTAACCCCTAAAACCCTAA